TGGGGACTGCTCTGATGCCAGAAAGCAATAATTCTTCATGCAATGCTTTACATTTACTAGGAAGGCCACATTATAAATTCTTTGCAATGCTGCTGCCCAACAGTGTAATAATGGTATCCATAATCCCCATTTTAGAGAATGGGGCAACTTGAGACTTAGGGAGGTTAAGGACTTGCTCAGGACCACACAGACCAATATATACTGACCCTGTAGGCTTTTTCTTTTTTTTAAACTTTACTTGATTTCTTACAGAGGCTGTTTATAGATACAAACACTATGAGAAGTTCTGTGCAGAAGTTGTAGTCTTCCTCCTAAATTACTAAACTGGCTTTTTAATGCAAATCAGTGACCCTGGGCACAACTGGCAATCTCTAAGAGCCTGTTCACCCCGGAACAACTGATCTTAACTCTGAACAAGCCACACTGGAGATTTGGGCATGTAAATTTGGGGGAGAGTGAGAAGTGGATTTTAAAAGGCAGGGCTAAGAGGGAGAAGAACAAAAAGAGGAGCACAGCTTGAGCATGCACAAGGAATGACAAAAAAGTCCCAAAAGACTGGCAAGGCACAAAATCAAGAAATCAACTGTTTTCTGCAAACTTCTTTGTGCCACGCACTCCTCTGGTATTGTTACTTTTATTCATGATTAAGTATCACCTTACCGCTGACTTCTACAATGAGATTACATGTATACAGATAACGGCCTATGTATATTTTTCAAGCAAAGGAAAAACATTTAGAAGACTTGCTTTGTGAGAGACTAAGTCAATTAACAAAGCAGACTGACCATGCACCTTTTGCTCTTCCAGGGAACAAAATCTCCTATCCTTTTGTGGAGGTATCCAAAGAATTCAAGTAGTTATGGCAGTTTTTGGCAAGGACCCATTACATTTCAACTCAAAATTTCACAAGGATTTTCGATACAATACACAATCTGGTGATCCCAAAAGAATTCTTCAAAAATGAAACTTAAATGTTAAAGAAATTCCTTAAAAATAAATTAATATGGCTGGGCACAGTGCTTCACACTTGTAATCCCAGCATTTTGGGAGGTCAAGGCGGGTAGATCGTGAGGTCAGGAGATCAAGACCATCATCCAACATGATGGAACTCCTTCTCTGCTAAAAATACAAAAATTAGCTGGGTGTAGTGGCAGATGCCTGTAATCCTAACCACTTGGGAGGCTGAGGCAGGAGAATCGCTTGAACCCAGGAGGCAGAGATTGCAATAAGCTGAGATTGCGCCACTGCACTCCAGCCTGGCAACAGAGTGAGACTCTGTCTCAAAAATAGATAGATAGATAGATAGATATGACAATGTGTCAAGCACTGCATCCATTCTAAACTTAGAGGGGAGGAAAAAATACACACAGAGACACACATAGGTTATTTAGTGTGCCAGAGTTCCATAAAATAAAAAAATTCATTTTGTACACCCTTGAGATCTCAGGCATCCTTACATGTGGGACAGGTTTAGATCTTAGACGACAAAATCCCAAAGTAAGGACATTCTGCCTAGATTCAGAGTTCTGGCTCACAGTATGGCTTCTGAAATGCAAATTATATCATTTGTTTGACAGTTTATATTATTAACAATTACATGAGACATTTTGAAAGCATGGTTTAGGGGAACTAAAATTATATTATTAAATGTAAAATTATCACAAAAACTATTGCATTCAGCCATTGGTCCAGTATCTGTTGAAGCAAACATATTGTATTCACTACTTGGAATATCAAACTATTCAAATACAGTTCCAAGATAAATAGAAAGAAGTAACTAATAATAGCTGGGCTCTTGGCCAGTCTGGACTGCTAAATTAAGCCATTGTAGAAAGGTTTCTGGCTTCTCAACTAATTGAATTTTTTCAATTCATGATTAAATAGTTTTATCTATTTCAACGTTTTAAAACGTTTATTAAATTTCTAATTGATATTTCAAGCCGAGGAAGCAACTTAAACAGTTCATGAGAAAAATGACATAGCTATCACTTGGAAAAAGATATTCTTCCCTCACAACAGGCTACCAGATCCTAGGGACAAGTAATAATCTTCAGGATTCACTCCTCATGGTAAAACCTTCATGGCCATGAAATTATCCTGCCAGCTTTTCCTAAAAGCTCAGATGCACAACTTACATCTTTAGGACTGCAACAAACAAATAAAAATGCTTGGAATTCTCCTCTTTCTATTTTAAAGCAAAGAAAGACCTTAAGAGGTTACCTGGCTCAAAATTTCCCAAAGTGGGTTTCATGAAACATTATTTATCAAAAATGTTCTTAATAATGGCATGGTGATCAAATAAGCATGAGCGCACTCTTAGAGACCCATAATCGTATTAGGTCATGAACAACACAGAGAAGGCCTATAGAAAGAATCAGACTTTTTAAAAAACTTCATTTTCATCAAACCTATTTGAGCAAAGAACCATTTATGCAGTACTTATTAAAATCCTGTGAAATTAATGTTTTGTAGAAAATGCCTTATCTTTTATGAAGAAACTGAAGTCCAGACTGGTTAGGTGATTGTCCCAAAGTCATACAATTAGTTGTAGGCTAAAAACAGACCTCACCTCTCAGGACCCCAACAGGTATTCCTTTTGGTACTATGCTGTCTTTCTTCTGCAATACCTATGCTCCTTAGAGGATCACAGGATAGAAAAACCACATCTTGGAGACCACCTAGTCCAAAGCCCTCCCATAAAGCTAGGGAAATACAGTCTTAGAAAAGTGAAGCAGTTTGCCCAAAATGACATACAAAATTCATTCTTGTAGTAGAACTAGAACATGCTCTTAATTCTAACACTAGTATCTTTCCATAACAGCATGCTAATTCCTGCAAAGCCAACACTTTTGGCCTTTGAGGTAAAGAATTCATGGACAAGAGGGGTTTTAGCTATTAAGGGCCCATTAAATATGTATTAAACCATACTTGTGTCAATAGATACTTTAAATCAGTTAAACATGATTGTCTTTACTTACAAATGTCATCCACTGTGACAGGGAATCAATGTTTCAAGCTGTTGAACAGGTCATCAACCCTGTCCTGTTGGATGACACCTGTAAATAAAATAAATCTATTTTTGAGTGAGTAGATTTTAAGCCAGCTAGATTTAAGATGCATGCGGTTTAAAGCAAAGAGTAATTTTTTAAATGATTCTTAATTATGTACTGCCACAGAGAGGTACTTCCCAGTGCCAGCAACTTCACTCTTAGTAGCTATCACTGTCCACCAGCACAAAAGAATCCAGGGAATTCAACATAGAAAGTTGCTAGAATACACAAGGAATCATGACTCCTGGAGCTACAAGGGTCTTCTAGGTATCCACCTCAGCTTACTATCTCTGTGAAAATCACTTCCACTTTGATGGGGGGACAACCAAGGCCTGGTGAAGTCAAATGACTTGCCTAATGTTAAACAGCTAAGTGTCTTTAGCTAAAGTCCATTGGTGTTGGAAAGTATGTATAGATTGCATTAGCAAAGGTTACCATTAGGCTAATGAACTTTGAAAGACTCACATGTACACATTTTTAAACATTTCACAAATGCTGACTTAGAATGTTCTAGCATATCTGCAGAGAACAGAAAGTCAGTATTAGATACTCAAATACAAGCATTACTGAAAAATGCCATAGATGGAAAATAAACCAATAGTGAGAAAATGGGAAGTAGACCACGAAAAGAACAATATTAAATACAGCAGGCATTTAGGATTTTAAGTTCTGGCTACTTCCAAACAAGATTTGTGGTTCCTAGCAAATATGGATATATAAAAAACAATTTTTATACATTTTCTACAGTTTATAATTTTAAATGTTGGTTTCTCTGTAGCCACAAAATGCCAATGTTAAGATCTGCCAAAAACTAAAATTTGAGCTGGACACAAACTTTCATTTTGTACCTAAATACTCTACGGTAATGGGAAGTTATTTGAGGACACTGCCTTGAGGTAAGATGACTGTTATAATAATAACACTGCTACCAAGCTTATATTGAGTGTCTACATGTGCCAAGTGCCCATGTAGCACTAGCTATCTCACTCCTCACAGCAACTTGACCATTATTATAATTTTACAAATAAGACAATCAAAAGCACAGACAAATCAGTTATTATAACTTGCACACAGATCTATTTGGTGATAGAATCCAAGCTCAAAACCTACTGCACTTCTTTGATTTAGCAATTGAAGGTTCTTAAAAACATAAAAATGAATTAACACAGTTCCAATTATAATATGTAAGATGACTCCAACTAAATGTCACACAATATAAAACATCAGGAAAATCTCTTACTCTTCTCTTGGAGGTAAGGAGGAGGCTGGGAACAATTTTCAAAAGTAAAATAATCTTAATGCCAAGAAGTTAAAACTTTTTATGTTGACCTGAAATATATCGCAATTAAAATATGACAACTAAATAATTTAAATTGTCTTTTAAAATTAATTGTCTTTTATAATTCAAGGAAAGTAAATCTTCCTCATTTGATTACTTAACAGATTATAAAGAGATAAATCCTCTTCCCACTCAAGAATGATTAACTCCCAAAATGTATGCATATACATACACATATATAAAATCACGCTAAGACCACAACTATTTATAAACTGAATTGTCTTTAAGGAAAACAAAAAAGTAATTTTGACAGATAATGCGACCCCCTTAATTACTTATGTAATAGTAGCTATCTTTTCTTGACCAGGAGTTATGCTTCTGTTGTCAAGCCTCTGAACTGTTTTTTACTAGGGGCCATTTTTCCAACATATTTTTAAAATGGTGAAACTGATAAAATAGAAAACAACCAGGAGTATAAAAATATACCCGACATATTTTATTAGAACAAGAATTAGCTATATGCAAACCTCAGCACCACAGAAACTAGACATTAAGAAAAATGCAGATACTTTCCAAAGCACTGTGGAGAAATTAATCTCTTCTGGCAATAATGACTTTCTTAAAAGAACCCCAAACAGAAAAAGATAAAGTGTGGTTTCATAGTAGCTTACCCTTTTCTCTGACACCCCATCCTGGCCTGTAGAATCTCTCTCATCATGTGTCTCTTTCAGGACTGGCATATGTTTTTTGTATGCTGGCTCTCTGTTTAAGGTTGTGTATCCTATGTGCTCATAAATTGGGTTTATCGTCATCTTGGCAATGTATTCTGCTGCCTTGGTTTCAATATAGAGAGTAATCAAGCCATCAGTCACCAGATCGTGGATGGACTCAAAGCGTTTCTCCCCAACAAAGTGCTTGCCATCGTAGTAGAGCCTGAAGTTTCTGGTTTGACTTCCAAATCTGCCTCAATGAAATGGGAAAGATGTTTTTAAGAAAAGTAAGCAACTGAATTCTTTCTGACAGAAAAAAAAAACAACAACTATGCTTTGTTTTGTGTGTGTCTTCTTTGTTTAAATAAGCTGTGGCTAATCTCTGAATTGTCTGGAATATATAAAATTAAACATTTGAACACAAAGAATGAATTTGCAATAACTAGGGACAACTAGTCAAAAGCATGCCTACCCTAAAAGGAAGAATTTTTTTGTTTATCTTTTTAAACCACTTTATTATGCCTGTGGGAAAAATGAGAGAAAATAAAACTTGCACCCTATTAAAACATAGTCAATATTCAATTGGTCAACTCCATAACAGATGGTATTTCTATACTAACATTTTTTCTTCAAGTTGATCAATAAGAATAGTCAATGTACTTTAGACCTCAGCAGTCATGTCTTTTAATAGGAAAGCTCCATTTAGGGCTAACCAGAATATGATGTCAGCAATCACTTACAGTAGAGCATGCCTCCTGAGTCACGCAGGGCAGGATGGCACAGAAACACACTTTTGCTACTTGTGGCCACAGGCCAAGTATTTACTATTTCCTTTTTAAACAGTCATTATTTTGTCTGCTGGTTAGGTCTGTACAAGAAATGTTTGCAATATATACGGCACAAAAGTCATAAGCTATTGGACTATAGAAATTCTGCTTTCAATTTTATGTTCTGATGATGTGTTCTAACAACTGAAGAATGGTTTACTTTTATGATAATTTCAGTTTTTTTCTTCCTGCAGCAAACCTCAGAAATGGGTCCAATTTGGCGTGATTAACATCAGTGTCCTTGTAGGAATTCAAGGCAACAAGAGCTGCCAGTGTCATGGTCTCCTGAATGTAACCCCAAGTGAGCCTAATTAAAAACTAAACAAGTCACAAAGTATATATTTAATTTCATTGTTAAAAATACACAGAACATGGATGAACTAAAATACTAAAATAAACGCTGTTTAAGTAAAGTGTTAAATGGGACTACAACCTTGTTAAAACAACAAAATTCTTTTGGTATAGGTGATATTCCAAATGGATAGGCATTAGAAACATCTTAATGTGGAAATAAAATATGGAAAGGAAATAAAATATCTTTTAAAATAATGGCCAAAGGCATGTCTGTTTCTGTGGTTCAAATTAGACTTTAATAACGATTTTATCTAGAATCCAACATACTATCCATGTTGGCCCTTTTAACATATAATTTATCCATCCTTTAGCAACAACCAAATTTTGATTTACACTTAAGTGAACTATCCATATAATTACACTTTCCTGTTCTCCATTTTCCTCTAATATTAAAGACACATTTCTCCCAAGTAAATTTTTATTATAAAGCCTAAAAAATTAGGAAGGTGAAATTTCTACACCAAAGTTAAATATAAAAGTTTTTCAGTTTAACATACTGCTTTCATAATTTCCTTTTTTCTAATATACATTATCTGCAACATGGAAAGCAACTTCACAGCTTTTATAAGACTCTTACAATGATAAACACACATAGCATTAAGCCCCTTTATATTTCAGTTGTATCAAAGACATTTCAGTGAGGGGTCAGACCATTTTACCATAAGTCCCTCCTGGGACTTATGATTTTACAGTGGGTAGTTCCAAATTCAAGCAATGGTGTCAGTCATTTAGTACTCAACAGCCTTCTGAAATCTGAGAAGTATGGGGGGCACAAAGCATGAAGGGAAGATGGCGGCATTGGGAATGGTTTCGTTGAAGGGTGGAAGCCTAGAGTTAACTTCCTACTTCTTTCCAATGGACACACCTAACTCATCCAAGAAGAGGCCTAGCTACCTGTAAGGAGCTGTGCAAAAAACCTTATTTGTCCTTTTCTCTTTCTCAACTAGTGACTTCAGTAGATCCTACCCACAATTTCTAATTCCACCTCTGCCTGTACTTCAGCTCCAGGCTTCTAATCCAATCAAACTTTCAGTCTTAAGGAAGATGATCAGATAACTAAAATAACTTATAACATGGTTTGATTAAAACTTTGCCACATAGAGGAAAAAAAAATTGCCATTTTGGAATTATAATTGATCTTTTTAAAGAAAAATTACATTATATTTTATTAAGAGAACTGCCAAACTTCCCTGGCCTACTCTGAACTACTCTCTTATTTGGGAAGTTACTTAGGAACAGCACCACAGCACAGACTATCAGAGACTTCTCCACTTTCTTTATCTGAAAGGCATAATGTGCTTTGTGGGATTAGAAGAGGAAAAAGAGGACAGAAAATCTTTGAGAAAGGTGGGAATGGATGTGTTTATTTTACATAAGAAGAGCCATAAAGGGGAAGATTCCAAATCTAAGGAAGAAGAAAGAATTCTTGAAGTTTACTGCTTGCATATTGTCATTTATTCAACAAATAGTTAACAAAACACTTTACTGTCTTTACTGGTACTTTACCGTCAAGTATTAGGTGGTTCACAATAAAGTTCCTAGTCCTTCAGTAACCCCAATGGTAAAGACATAAACATAAAACAGGTCAATACAAAGACACAAAATGCTAAATTTTAAAAAGTTCACCTTCATATTATTTTAATAACTATGTATATAGAATCTTGCTCTTATGCAGAAAGTTTCTGAAAAGTGATACACAAAACCAACGAATCCGGCGTCTCCCTCACACCATAAAAACCAAGAAACTCACTGCCTAGTAAGATCTTGGAGCACAACAGTTATGCTTACATAAGATCTCAGAGCTACTGCTTATGTCCAAGTATAAAAGCACCCTTGCAGTCTTCTCCTGCAGTCTTGAAATAGGGTTTGGGGAGGGGCAGGCAAATGTGGGTCCTATATGTTTAAGAGAAAACCTTAGGCTTTGGCATCAGACAGTTGTAAGTTTAAATCCTGGATCTGCCACTTCCTAGCTGGGTGATTTTGGGAAAATCATTCGTCAGATTCTGCATCTAAAAAATAGGAATAACATCCTCCTACCCCAGATGGCTGTGAGGATTACATGAGGATATTCAAGTCCAAGCTAAATATATACAGTAGGCACGAATGGTAGTTCCCTTCTTTTTCTCTGTTAGCTTAGGTCCCTGCAGAGAATGAGAGAATGAGTTACCAACACTAAAGTAAAACAGCAAAAATATTCAATAGATATGCATGGAAGATGGCTGAATAAATAACTGGCAACACTGCTGTACAGGAACATCTCTGCACTGATTTACTTTACAGCTAACAAGAGGCAAGGAGGAGCTCTTTGTGAAATTTTCTTCTGGATGTCTCTGAATAAGTTTATATCTACCACTTGGTTAAACAGAGTGGGAAGACAACAGAGTGCAAAGCAGGGAGGAGCAGCAAGCAAAGAAGGTCTTTCCACTGTGTCCTGGGAATGAGGTCTCTGAATTCAAAGGAGAAAGCTAAGAGAGTTACATATATTGAAAGCGGGACATACTAAGTGGACCTCGTGACAACTACTGAACTGTGGAATGCAGAGTACAGATTTGTAAAAAATGTTGATGCTAAATCATTTCCTTTGACTTTTATAGGACAATTTTCTTTTCATCTTTTCTGTATTTATTATCTGACTCTGCCCTTGCTTAATAGCTGCTAACTCCTTGGTGAACATACTTGAAGCTATATAGGCCCAACTCTCACCTAGGTAGAGTTCAACAAGATGAAAATTTATTTTCTCCAAAGTGGTACTATAGTAAACAAATAGAAAAGAAAGGCTTTTAACTGCTACTGTTGTACATAATACCGCTTTCTAGAAAGAACATTTTTCTCCGGTGATTTCAGGTTTTGGGTTTCCTGTTTTAAAAAGCTGTTTAATGCTGTGCCCAGATGCATTTAATGAACTTCAAATATATAATTCTAATGTCTTTTTAAAATAAACAAAATCCTTAATATACCATCTTTCCTACTTTTCAGCAAATGAATCATACTGACAAAAAATTCAGTCTAGAAGATAAAAATGATGAAAAAATATATAAAGAATAGCTTTCAGAATTTTACTTTACTTTTTACAAAACTAAGAATTAATTCTAATTTGAGGCCAAAGTGATTTGGAAGAATCTCCTCAAAGGAAACCTCCAAGCTAACAGATGTTTTGTGTTAACAAACAGAAAACAAAACATATACAACACACTTATCTAAGCTAACAATAAAATGTTAGAAGTATTTCCAGAAACCAACATACAAAAGCAGTTTCATTTATCATAAATATATATTTGCGTGTTGTTTACCAGAGTCAGAAAAGCTAATCTAATAGTGAAATATAAATATCTCATACATTCATCCAATCATAAGATACTCTTGGAAGAAAAGTTAAAACAGAAGTAAGAATATGATGATGCATTTAATTAAATACTAAAAAATAAATTTAGATGAATTCTATGAACTAAGGAAGGCTAAGGAAGAGAGAGCATAGTTATATACAACAGTAAAATGATCTATTATCTAAAACTTTGTTAGGCTACGATTTTTGTTTATCTTGCTATTAATTTTGGACTATGGGGAAAAGTATTAAGTTACATCAACTCATAATGATATTTCCTTGGCCAAATAAATCACTTTCAGTGAAGAAGAAATCCAATTTGCCTAACTAAACTTCTAAAGAAGCAATCTTCTGAACAGTGGAACTGATATAGTTCTGGAAGGTGGAACTGATATAGAAAGATTAACTCGAAGTCTGTTTAAGAAGCAGAGGGATATTTCCCCTGCCCTCCCCAATCCTGTCCCCATTGTTAGCCCTTCCCCACCATGGCAGAAGACTTAAGTTCTATTCTCTAGGCAGGATAAAACAGGGAGATTGTGAACTGAGGGAACACATGCAGAGGTATCATCTTGAAAACTAAGTGAAAGTTTTAAATACCCAAAATTTAAATACTAAAGAAATTGATACCTCCATTTCTCTTCACCATGAGGTTATCAGAAGGCTTGTACCTTTCTTGATAGATGAAAGATTCTACTCTTGGAAATCTGATCAACTCAACTAAAAGATTTAAGAGTAGAGACCATCATC